GGATGAGTGGAAGGTGCTGCGTGGGCACCAGCAGTGTGCCTGGCAAGGGGATTCCTGCCTCCTCACCGTGCTGGTGGGCTCGGGCTGGGGGGTGCCTCCAGCAGCTCAGTGGTTACCTCCAAGAAGGCTATGAACACGCTCACTGATCGCCTGCTTCATTATTTCCATGAAAACAACTGTCCTGAGCTGTTTTTTTAATTCCAGGGAAGGTCTGGAAGCCTTGTGGTTAAGGTTTTGGAGGTAAACAATGACTGAGCTGGATGAGGCTGGCCTGGGGACGCAGATAGCACAAGCAGCTCCCACTCCACAGGACTCCCAGCAGCCGCAAGAGACTGGACCACTCATCGGGTGAAAAAAGCCTGTAGAAAATGCTGCTGTGTTTGCTCTCCTGGTCTGCATGGCCCGTGCTCCTGGGTGAGAGCAGGAGGGTGCTGAACAGAGAGGAACAGGACCAGGCTGCGTTCCCTGGGGGAGGGTTGGCCCAGCTCCTGCAGCAGCTCAGGGAGTGGGACCACCACCCCTGCCCCGGGTCTGAAACCACCGCCTGGATCTGTTCTTCCACCACTGGAGGGAAACATCTCGCCACCACAGGCAGCTCTGCAGAGTCCTCCATTGAAAAGTGGGAACGGCCAGTGCATCCCATAAAAAAACAAGCCAAATGAGGTCAAACAAACTGACCCCCCCCCCAGTAAAATCCTTCTTCAGCTTGGAGGTGTGAGGACAGCCCTGGAAGGGCAGGGCTGGTCTGATCAGCACGTTTCAGAGATGGAGGGGAAAGGGATGTGGGAGGCTACGTGAGGGTCCCCTAAGGACCAGGCTCTGCATTTATGCTGTTCCCTTTAAGAGACACCGTGCTACGTTTTTATGAGCAGCTCTCCTGTGAGCCTTACCTACATACTAAACACCCTAAATGTCTGTACAGCACATTGTTATCTATTACACCTGCCAAAGATGCAGCTGGAACCTACACATGACAATTAAAAAAAAACAAAAAAAAGATATATTTAAATAGAAACCATTCAATTCTTACATCTCAGCACATGAAGGGTTAACAGAAGAGGTTAAAAAACACACCGGAGAGGGAATATATTGACAAAATAAATATTTTAACCTAGAACAGGGTGTGATTAGAACTTACAAAGGACCCCGACAATAATTTAGTGTCATTGAGTGTCAAGCTGTGATTCCTAAGAGGCCTAGAAAGCGCTGGGATGTTATTCCCTCGGGGAAAGGGGATCAGGCTGCAGCTCCATCCCTCTCCTCCCGAGCGCCGGAGCCACACAAGGGCCTCTGCCCACGCAGGAAGCACTTAGAGTGAAAGCAAAGGGAGAATAAATCAAGAGGTGGGTGTTCTGAAGTGAAAACCTCCTTCCCTTCCTCTCCAACGGTTTCTGCAGACCACAAGAGGACAGGGGGAGGATGAGAGATCCTGATACAGGACATTAGGGAAGCTCTAGCACAGCTCTGACAATCGTTGAAGGAGGTTTGGGTTAAACCACCCATCCTGCTGCACACTCCATCCCCTGCGGCGCTCCCAGCCCCACTGAGAGCCAGGGCTGGTGGGCTGGGGCTCCACAGGGAACTGATGGCAGGGCTGGGCTTTGACCAGAGCCATCAGGAGTCCCAGTGAGAGGTGGTTCAGCCACAGCCCCAGTGAGAGGTGGTTCAGCCACAGCCCCAGTGAGAGGTGGTTGAGCCCCGGCCCCACGGGGGGTTCAGCCACAGCCCCAGTGAGAGGTGGTTCAGCCACGGCCCCAGGCTGAGCACACACCACACCCAAGGTTGGCACCTCCTGAGCGCTGCCCTCCTTCCAGCCAAGCCACTGCCTGTGCCACCCACTGCACCCCCTGGCTTTCCAGGGGAGCACAGGGGGGGCCAGCGGGGACCACGGGGTGCCTGAGGTTGCAGGCACAGAAGAGAGTCCCTCGAGTTGTGCCCACAGATGCTCCTTATCTCCCCTGAGCCCCAGCCTCCTCGTTTCACCTCTTCCCCTCAGAGCAAGCAGTCACCAACAGCTCTGCAGCATCTCCTAGGAAGGGACCAGATTCTCTCAAAAGCCACAACTTGCAAGTCCCAGGACAGGTTTAGCAGGACAGAAGGAAGAACCGTTGACAGCACAGCACAAACACCACCCTGCTTTTTGTTTCGGGGTGGGGGAAGCAGGGCCAGCAAAGCCACAGCAGTGGGGACTGCACAGGGGGGTCGCTGACAGCGCCGGTCACGGTCTTGCCACTCAGCATCATGTGCTGATGTCCCCGTGCTTGAGCAATGGGATTATCTCCTCCGGCTTGGCAGGGAAGCTGGATTAACATGCTTAGCATCACCTGATGTGGCCATTTACAGGGTCAATGTGTTTCAAGGATTTAGAAGAGAAAATACACGCTGAAAACACCCACGGAGGTTCTTGCGTTAACGGGAGCACCATCCAGACACCGTCTGAAATCACATCAGTGTCCCCACAGGAGTTTCCTCCAGATTTTGGGAGCTGGTGGCCACGTCTGAGGCATTGCAGCGAGGCAGGGGCTGGCAGGGGTTGGCAGAGGGGTGTCTGCCAGTCGGGCTGAGCACTGGGCTCACCTTGTGTTCAACAGCGAGGGCAGCAGCCAGGGCAGGCTCTCCTGGGACCTTCCGTTAGCCACAGAGAAGGTGAAACAGAGAATCCCTCTGCCAGACCCAAGGAGATGGGCTTCAACTGCAGAGGGGGCTGGCAAGTGGGGAGAAGCAGCAGCTTGATCCCCAAACGATCTCCATCCACACACTGGTTTTCCCCATCTGCTTGCAAGCCATGCAGCGAGCCACAGAGCGGTGAGGAGGAGCCAAGTCAGCACAGGGGGGTGCCAGGGCAGCCCTGCTGGGGCCCAGCTTTGTATGGAGGGATCCTGGAAGAGCACGCAGGCAGAGCAGGACAGAGGAGAGGATGAGCAGAGACAGCACAGAGTGACATCTGAGCTGGGACAGCCTGGAAATCCTGCACCGAGCAACACTTCCCCCTGAAGATGAACGTGACCTCTCTCAAAGCCCATCAGTGCTGCCACTGGGCCATTTGGGTAGAGGTTTTAGATGCCACAACGTACCCCAGAGGGTACGTTACGAGCTGAAATGACCGTGCTCAGATAAAAGCTCCTATCACTTTCACATCAGCTGTTTATAGCACAGCTTCTTGGTCTAGAACAACTTCTAAGAGCTTGACAGACACCAGCGTCCCGGGAGGCTCAGGCTTGCCCAGTCAGAACCCAGTGGCTGGTTGCCCAAGACAAGGATTGCCCTGAGGAAGAGGGGCTGGAGCAGTGCTGCCTGCATGGACGTTCATCTGCCTCTGTCAGGAGAGGAGATTCTCCCTGCCATGCAGTGCTCAGCCCTCTCTTTGATCCTCCCCTCTTGCACCACTGGTTCCCTCCCAAGGAGCGTGCCGCGGGACGCAGCGATGGCTGGAGCTGCCTGCTCCTGCTCTGCTCCTCAGCCCAGCCAGGCAGCCACACGTGCTGGAACCTCCCCTGGCAGCCCCAGGGAAGTGAGGGAACACGCTTGTTTGCACAGGCAGGAGGGAGACTGCAGCCCTGCAGGAGCTGGGAGTTAATAAAGGGGCAGAGGTATCAAAGGACACTCCAAAAGTTACAGAGAGTGCAGCCGCAGTCACCCAACACTTTCCCAGGCCCAAACCTAAGAGGAAATGAGGAGTTCCACCTCCAGCACAGGCAGGCACAACTAATCCCTCCACAGTAACCATCTCCCTCAGCGTTTCTGTACGAGCATCTGTGAGGTTTGCCTCTTTTTCTCACAGCTGCCACCAAGAACCAGCACATCTACCCTACTAGGCTTGGCAGGGAATCCAGGAACCTCAGTTCACACCCAGTCCGTGAGCAAGTCCCACCTATCCACATGGATGTCTTTTACAACAGCTGAGAGAAACGCAGAGCTCTACAGTCACTGCAGAAGGAATGGAAGGTGAGGAAAAAACCAACCTGGCAAACACCCTCTACAGAAAATCCTCGTGTGGGAATGCTCTCCCAAAGAGCAAAATGCTTCACGTGCGACCGTCGCAGCCCCCATCTCACTGAGCACTTTTCATCCTCCTCAACTGCCAGAGCCCCCAGACACGGCCACCAGACTGCTTCCAAATGAGAGCAAGCCCAGATAAAACACAAGGAGAAAAAAAAAAGACCCCCGTGAGATTTAGAATACGAAGCGCCGGGAAGGCGACCACCATATGGTACTGGGAGATGTGGGAGTGGGAGAGGAAAGGATTTTAACTTGTGCAGCACATGTTGAGAGGGGAACAGTTGTTCCTTGCTGTCGAATCCCACACGAAAGCCAATACATTAACATTTTATCTAAAAATAAAGCCACGCTCCTCCTGAACATTCCAGCTCAGCCAATTACATGCTGATCGACAGAGCGGTCTACTTGGCAGGACCTGCCTACAGAAGAGGATGATCCCTCCATCAATTGAAGGGCAAGGCTGCTCTTCTCCCCCCTGGGCTTTTGTTTCAACGCAGTGTGACGTACTCATGCATTCTAAAGGGGTTTTCAGCATCCAGGGCTGGTTTTGTGCAGCTGGGATAGGAAGGAGGGGATTAAGAGAAAGCTGGAGAATCGTGGTCTGGCAGAAAG